GAGCTGATATTATATACGATGGTGCATTCCCGAGATGATAATAGTATTCCAGATTGAAGGAGCAACCCCGCGGTTCAATTCCAGAAAATGGCCTTGCTGCCTAACTCTTAGCAACCGTGTTGACCAGCTCTCGATAGCAGTCCTGCTACACACCTCTATACAACAGCTCCACCATCTAGCTCTTAGTAGCCTCAACTCTCGACAAACAGCCAAGACAGCGAGACACTGATTGTCACTACAACTAATGATGCAGCAAAGTATCAAGTGTCGTTACATTCCGGTTGTACTGATCACCCAGGCTGGGCACATAGATCGAAGTCTGCTAAGCCTAATCTTGCTAAAGATTCAGAAGGTTCAGTTCCTTTGCCTCAAGTCGCTTAGCTTCTTAGCCCGACTCCATTATAGCGGTAACCTTTGCCTACAAGGTTCAGAACCCTTGCCTTGAGTCGCTCGGCTTCCCAGCCCGACTCCATTATAGCGGCAAGATCCGCCTGTAAGGTTCAAAACCCTTGCCTTAAGTCATTTGGCTTCTCAACTCGACTCCATTATAGCGGCAAGCTCCGCCTGCAAGGTTCAAGAAGTTCTCCTAGGCTACCAGGCATCATACATCAGACAATTCTATCATGCAATTCCTGAAGATCTCTAGCCTACTTATAACATGCAATTCTATCATAATCATCATAAACAAATAACAGTGTGGGTAATTTGGGGTATACTTCCTTGCTTTGAATGATCGTACACATCTCATCCTTCCTTGATTACTTTTGAAAATAATTTTGGAAACCATTTTGAAATTTTTATAGATCCTTAGTTTGAGTTTGGATTCACAAAAATGCTCATCCAATTCTCTCAAACCAAGGCTCTGATACCAACTTGTAACATCCTAAAAATCGAGGTAAATTTAAAAAAAAAATTCAAAACCAACCCAAAACCATAAATGTTTACAAAACATAATTCTCAAATGTTAAAATCACATATATCAGAGTTTCCTAAAACCAAATCTCATAAAATCCGAAGGATGTGCACGATCGAGCCTTCACATTTCCCTATCCCCTGAAGTACCTGAAACCATAACAATCTAACTGTAAGTCAAAGCTTAGTGAGTTCCCCCGAAGTACCACACTCAACCATACAGATAACAACATGCATATATGAGCCTCTAACCTGACTGGATTGCCTCACAGGGCCTACAACCTATCTGGACCGCTCTCCGCGCCTTTGGCCTGACTGGGCCGCCTCTCAGGCCTTCGGCCTATCCGGATCACCCCGAGTATCTTGGCCTTCAGCATAAAGCAGGACTGCCTTAACTCAACAAACCATAACATGTCGACATATACAATAAAAAATAATAATAACCATCAAATATTAGTAATCATATAGATCTACCAGTCTAACACATAACCAACATAACATCATGCCAATATATCAAGATACATAATCCAGTGGGCAAACATTGGTGCCTTCGACCCATAAGTACAGTGAGGAAAACTCACCTCACAATCTAAAATGTAGTTGAACAGATCATAGCTCCAACTGCTGACTCTACAACAAACAGTGACATGATCTCAAACTACTGCTCAAAATACCCAAAATACCCCTAAGTTAAAATTGGTTAAAATCCTAGTCAAAGTCAAGTTTAATAAGTCAAAGGTCCCACTTAAACTGAGTACGCCTTGCGTACTCCCCTCTACGCCCAACGTAGAGGGTGCCTTCCAAGCTACGAGCTCCAAACATGGTACGTACAGTGTACCTCTGGGTACAGCATACCAGCGCTGAACCACACTTCATCATTAAGTCCTTATTTTAGTAAGCTAAAGCACCAAACTTCAGATCCAGGTAAGAAGGGACGTCTTAATGGTTAAAGTCTCTGACTTTGTCCATTTGCATGCATACAATAGGGTATAAACTCAAACCCTTGGTCCAAAAGTCATCTAAGACCCCAAAACTCTTGCACGGCTTAATAAGAGTGTCCAAGCTCTCATTTTTATGAATCCATGAGCTCAAAACTATAGAAAACTACATTTCAAGGACCTAGAGTAGCTCATACTCTACTAGATCAAAACTATGGGATCAAAAATGTACACAAACTCTAGACTAACAAGATCTAAGCAAATACTTCATCAAGTTCCAAGCTTTATACCTTCAAAGGATGCTTGAGAGTGAGATACTTCTGGATCTAAGTCAAAAGTTTTATTACACTTTTCTTTTGGTATTCGTTGTTGGTATTAGGTTGTTTTTATTACACTTTCTTTTATTATAATTTTTCTTTCAGTTATGAAACTAAGTCAAAAGTTTTATTACACTTTTCTTTTGTTGTCGGAGCTCTTGAAAACCTTGGTCGTCGAAAGTTTTCTACTCTTGTTATTCTTAATGTTTCCGGTTCAATTCATGTTTTTTTAGTTGATTTTGAATCTTCTTAAAAAATAGGTTTTATTATTTTGAATGATTGGTCTAATCTACGTTGTCCTATTCTTCCTTAAAAAAGTTTTTTTTTATTATACTTTTGCAAGAATATCGCTTCATGTTAAGAGAAATTATAATGTTTTCGTTTTATTTTCTTGTTACAAATATGGTTTATTAAGGGTTTTAATGTTTTTTTAAATTTACATGTAGTGTTACGAAAAATATAGATGTTATGCTTCGTTTGGTATTATTTAAAAAAAATCATGTCTTTTGTAATTTGTTTTGTTCTTGCCAGACACTCCATGTTGTGTGTTTTTTTTCCTAACGTTCTTGTTCCGATTCGAGTCATTTTTTCTTTTTCCGGTTGTAGTTTTCATTTCCATTTTATGTTACAAAACTATTTGATTCGGGTTTGTATTCATTTAGTCGTATTTGTTTATGTTCTAGTTTTTCTTCGCGTCTCTATTTTACTTTTATTTTTGTTTGTTGGGTTTTGCTTTTGTTTCGGTGTTGCTATTAAATGTGGGTCATGACTCCATTGTTTCGAAAAAGCTCATGACGGTGTTGTTAAACGTGGCACGTGGCAACGTGCAATATGGCGTGCCATAGCACAAGATTTTCCTTTTGAGACATTTTTTTTCTTCTTTGTTATGTCTTTTCTAATAGGTATACAACTTTTGAGTTTTTGATCATTTTTTCTATTAGTTATTGATATAACATCTTTAAAAACTTGATATGTTTTATATAAATCTATATTTCTGTGATAATATAAGCAGGGGTGGACACATAATTTCATAGTAGGAGTAGTACGGGTAATTTAAGTAGTGGTAGGCAACCACAAATTTTCATAGTAGTAGTGACACGGGGTGGCACGTGAAATTTAAGTAGTGGGGTGATAGTAGAAAAAAATCAAAAATTTTTGTACTGCGTACGGAAATATCAGGCGTTGTCGGTGTCACTACGGGCAGCATATCAAAACTGCCCCTGAATATAAGTATAAATTAATACAAAAATTATTGTCTTACATCACGCCTTATAAAACGTTATGGCCTTGTCATGGCTCGTAAAACTTGAAGTTTTGGTAATGCATGTGGAAGATATGGTGGATAACCTATTGATTCATGTTCAAATCCTGTCACTACTCAGCCCTTGTGGCCATGGAGGTTCGCCTGCAGTGACTCCAGGGCATGAGGCAAAGCCTCATGTTTGCAGCGGGGGATTAGTCGGTGCACGAAAGCTGGCCCGGAAACCATCGTTAGGGAAATTCCCTTTTTAAAAAAAAACTTGAAGTTTTGTATTGCCGTCATGTCACGCCTCATGTCTTTGAACATTGGTATTAGGCGACACTTGGGCACCCCATAGGGAGGTCTCAAGTTCAAACATTTGATGTTGGCCATAAAAAAAAGTGCACCATGCAATTATAAAAGAGACTACTTAGTATTATTGACAAATGCGAGCCTTTTCCCCGAACTCCTATATCGGAGAGCCGCAGTAGGTGGTTAAGAACCTAACTTTTATACGTACTTTTAAATATTAACCCATCCTTTATAGAATGTAGGTTTGTTGGGAAGCAAATTGCATTAACCCACCTTTTTTGTCACATCTAACTTGGTAGCTAGGTTTCATATGTTCTTTCAAATATTAAGTCACCCTCTATAGAATTTGGGTTTGATGGGAAGTGACTTTAAAATCTTCTAACAATGATATGTGACATCTTTATATTAGTTAATTTTGAGGCTTATATAAAATATGTTTTTTTTAATTATTTATTTATATTTAATTTTTTTTAATCAATTCGTATAATACATAATTATCTAAAACTAGTAATAAAATGATTCTTCAATTACACATCTCTTGAATGAGGTTATGCTCATGCTATACATATGCCGGTCCATGCGTTCCTTCATAAATCTACTTACGACATCATATGTTATGCCGATACATAAGTTGTAATATGTTTTTATGAACAAATTATGATAGCACCATACATAAAAATCGTAAGAATCACATAAAAACAGTCCCTCATATATATATATATATATATATATATATATATATATATATATATATATATATATATATATATTTTCTCCTTAAGTATCCTAATTTAATTCCACATGTCAAACTAATAAAGAATATTTAATTAAATATCAGTAATAAAAAATGAAAAGAAAATATTGATATTAAAATGTGTAATAACTATTCCACATGTCGTTCAAAATATGTTATTTCATAAAATGAATCTTCACCAAAAAAGTTTACTTAAATTTACGTAAGTCTCCACGAATAAACAATTAGAAGACCTCGTTGTGATGGATTGTCTTGTTAATTACGAAAGTATTTTAGATATCTTTATTAATTATTTTTTTGATTGAATTATATGTTAAATAAAAGAATATATAATTAATATAAAACCAATGTTGAAGGGAAAGAAGCATATCATGATGATGGAATTCTGTCCTTGTCATTCTCCCTTTATTAAATTGTGTGCGTTTTTAGTGTTTGTGTGTGTGATATATACACCCATATACCTTCTGAATACCTTAGGTAAAACTCATTGCCTGTGTTAGTGTGTATATATTATTAGTGTTTATGTGTATAGATTATTTATGACCATACTTCTCCAGAACCCAATAACGACATTATATCTTTGTGTCTGTGTTGGTGTTTGTGTTTGAAAGTTTTGAGCTTTGATCACCAAATATCTGGCTCCAATGGTGTTGAAGACTTCATTCAAAGGCTTGTTATTCATGACATCATGCACCTTGGTGGTTTTGAAAGTAACCTTGTTTTTCATAACATTTATTCCTTTAACCTCAAAACTGACGATACACGACCATGATGATCACAATTTTGATATAAAACCCCCGCTTGCTCAATCTGCCAAAAGCTTTAATCCTCACATCTCAACTCATCGACAACATGAGGACGTTGCTCGGATATTGCCCCAAGAACAGCCGGCCTCCACCCACGTTGGTGGACTGCAGCCTGGAGATGGCAATGATGGCGGAAATTCACCGGAGGTGACTGGTCCTCCATGGCAAAGAGGAAGTGGACAACGTCCCGTGGTAAATACAAGTCAAGCGGTGGTGCATGAGGGGGGTCAACTGTTAGCTGGAAGTTCTAACCCCTCAAAAACAGGTAATATTGCATCACATCTACTATAATAAATGAAGATCAATTTGCTACATGTCAATCTCTCATAAGTTTTGACACTTGTCATTTTGTGATATTTTTAAAATAAAATAAAATCCACATGTCAATTTCTAGAATTTTCAATTTTTAAAATTAAAGTCACATAATACTTATGTGCATCTATATGTAAAGTATTAAATGTAATAGATGTCATAATAAATTGCAATTAATATGTTTTTCATTCCTTATTTTAAAATTTTATTTTAAAAAATATTTATTGTTTATATTTGATATTTAATCTTTTTTTTAATCAACCCGTGTATTACACGAGTTTTACACCTAATATAGGAATAAAAGACAAAATTACCATACAATATTGAGTATATTACGCCACTTGTTTTGTTAATTTATTTTAGATAAATAAAATTCCTTTTTTTAGAACAAGATCCATATTTAGTGAAATAAGTAATGTTTCAAAGCCAAAGGTATTATTGAGAAAATATACATTTTTTCAGAAATGTTTTCAACAAAAAATGTGTAGTGGGGTAAAAGCCAAGATGGGTACCAGAGGTACCGGTACCTCCAAGCTCACGGCTCTGACCCTTGAGTATTTCAAAATGGTGTGGTGAGCGGGTTCACTAACCCGTTCAAATCTTTCCCTCTAAGGTTGTGCATTTGACTTCAGTACTTGTACATTAAGGAGTAGGTTGGGAGGGTTCAGAAAGATGAATTTCTTGTTTTACCTTTCGGGGAATATAGAAATGAGATGAGAGATAAAAAAACTAATTTGATGTCTATATATGTGGTTGTTTTTTTGGAATTATTTTTCAATTCTATTGATTATATAATAATTTAAAATTATGACAATTATAATATTATTAAACATAAATTCAAACACAGTTTAATGATAACAAATAGCGTACACATATTAACAATATTAACAAATATGTATTTAAAAAAAAAATACATCAACTAAATTTATGAATTAAGAGACAAAAAGTTATACAAATAAAAAAAACTTCAAACAATGGAATTTAACTGAAACCAAATTATCAAATATGTTGAACTCCTTAAATAAATATTATAAATAACATAAAACTAACCCTTTGTGCCCTAATACAAGAATTTGGGCGTAACCAAAGTATAAAATACTTTAAGGCCAAACGGCACTCGGTCCAGTACTAGATCTTTCTTTTGGTTTGGGCCCAAGTTGTTCTCTTCTTTCTAACTTTTGAGATTTATTTTATTTTTATTTTTATTTTTATTTTTTTAGGAAGGGATGTGAGTGACATAGAGATGTACCATGACAAAGACATCTTCTTTGAGAACTACAAACAAATGAACAAAAGTTTAAAAATCTACATTTACCCACACCAAAAAACTGATCCATTCGCCAACGTCCTATTGCCCGACACCCGCAATTCACCAAGTGGCAACTACGCCAGCGAAAGCTTCTTCAAAATCGCTCTCTCAGCGAGCCACTTCATTACACAAGATCCATCCGAAGCAGACCTCTTTTTCTTGCCTTTTTCCATTGCAAGTATGAGACACGACAAAAGAATCGGAGTCGATGGCATTAAAAACTTCATCAAAGATTATATTTCAACCATCAGGCACGAGTACCCATTTTGGAACCGGACAGGTGGTGCCGATCATTTCTATGTTGCATGTCATTCTATTGGAAGGACTGCAATGGATAAAGCACCCGAAGTTAGAATCAACGCGATTCAAGTTGTTTGTTCTTCAAGTTACTTTTTGCAAGGCTACAATGCACACAAAGATGCATCAATACCACAAATATGGCCAAGACCAGGCGTCACCCCTATCCGACACCCGTCTGAAAGGTTAGTGCTTTGATAACATATTGTAATTATTAAGCTCACATTGACAGACTAGCCCAATAACCTCATAATCACTTTATAAACATGATAGCAGACTGGTAGTTATTGGTAGCACACAACTAAAGAGTTAACATTTTACATGATGTTGCAGGGACATGCTTGCGTTTTATGCAGGGGCGATGAATTCGAGGGTGCGTGAATCGTTGGTTAGGACATGGATGAATGATACGGAGATTGATGTTCATAGAAAACGACTTAAAACGCCTTACTCGGATTCACTACTTGGAAGCAAGTTTTGCATTCATGCGAAAGGGTTTGAAGTGAACACGGCTCGTGTAGGTGATGCAATCTATTATGGATGTGTTCCTGTTGTGTTGGCGGATCATTATGAACTACCATTTGCGGATATTTTGGATTGGAGTAGGTTGTCGGTTGTTGTTTCGACGGAAGATATTCCATTTTTGAAGAGGATACTCAAAGAGATTGTTGATTCTTATGAGTATGTGAAGTTGCAGAAGAATGTGTTAAAGGTACAAAACCACTTTCAATGGCATCGAAAACCGGTAGATTTTGATACGTTTTATATGGTGATGTATGAGTTATGGCTAAGGAGAAGTTCTATTAGGATTCATTTATTCAACGACAACGAGTGATATTTGAAAAATACAGTGTATTTGAAATTTTTAAGAGACTAATAATTAAATTGTTTTAAATAGCCAAGTAGGATCTTTCAAAAGTTATCATTCAAGATCATAACTTTGCAGGTTTCTTTCAGTAAATGAATTACTGTAGCAGAATCATAGAAAAAACATAAGATAAATGAAATTCACATTTGTAATCAATTCAATCCAATTTCAAATATAAGAATCAACATATGTCCAATTAAAACCTACTTTTAATTGATATAAGAACACCCAAATGAAATTGACAAACTTTTTACCAAAAAGAGCAGACGCAAATGAACTCTGCATCACTAATCGATTTAACTAGCAGCAACAAGATATAATTTGAAGAACTATTAACAAGATTTGAACAATGTAAAAAGAAACACAAATCTAAATGAACTCGGTGAACAAGATATAATTAGAAGAAAACGCAATGAACAAGAAGATGAAATAACAAGATTTCCACCGTAAAAAGCATATGCATATGAATTTCTGAGACAGATGCATTAAGAGAATCGAGTGAAGGGAAACCTAAACCAAAAATTTGACCAATTAAGAGTAGCAGAAATATGAATATGAATTAAACCCAAAAAAATGGCGCCGATGGCGAAAACAATTCCATTGCCGGGAATCGAACCCGGGTCTCCTGGGTGAAAGCCAGATATCCTAACCGCTGGACGACAATGTAGTTGTAATCTTTTTGGATATTATCCTATTAATTGCTAAGTTTAGATCAAAATCCCATTTTTGACTTGTTTTCATTCTACCGTAGATGTATCAATAAAATTGATTTTTTATCTACTATAATTTATCTCGCCAATATTTTGTTAACATAATAGATTTTAGTTATAAAAACTTATGTACTATAATTTTCAAAATTAAGTTATATTTTTTGCTTGACTAAATATCTAAATGTATTAGAAGTTAGTACATTTTCACAAAATACCGACAATAGTAAAAAAATAGGTGATATTTTCAAAATTTAGACATGAAAATTGACATTTCCGGGTATAGACATGCATTCCGCGGAGGTAGCTCCGCGGAATCTACTGTAGTTCCGCGGAATGGCAAAATCGTAAATAAATTAGTGTATTAAAAAAAAAAAAAAAACTCAAGATCCATTCCGCAGAGCTACAGTGGATTCCGCGGAGCTCCGAGGAATGGATCTTCAGTTTTTTTTTTTTTTTTTTTTTTCAAATCGATTTTTCGGGGTTTATATTCATTCCCCAAACTAATTATTTTCATGATAGTATGAATTTTTATTGACAATGTTTGGAATGAATGTGAGGTGGAAAAAAATTAGTCTTTTAATTAGAGATCATTACATAAAAGAATCATTGGAGAAGTTTTTTTTTTTTCTTCTGAAGATCCATTCCTCGGAGCTCCGCGGAATCCACTGTAGCTCCGCGGAATGGATCTTGAGTTTTTTTTTTAATTTCATCATTTATTTACGATTTTGCCATTCCGCGGAGCTACCTCCGCGGAATCCATGTCTATACCCGGAAATTTAATTTTTTGTGTCTATATTTTGGAATTCAACCCCAAATAATGTTTATACCCGGTATTTTCCCATTTGAAAACTATGCATATTTTAAAATTTTAGATAGACAAGTAACCGGTTGTTTAAGTTATTTTCCATTGACCCGTCAACAGTAAATATGGAAGCATATGAGGTTTTTTTTATGATAATATATAAAAAGATATTTGGTTTTTATATGGTCGACAAGTTAAGACTTAAGAACATCTATAATAAGAGTTCTTAGTGGATTGTTTTAATGTAAAATCTCAAAAATAAAATTATCTATATTCCTCCATATAAGAACATTTATAATAAGAGTTCTTAGTGGATTGTTTTAATGTAAAATCTCAAAAAAAAAAATGATCTATATTCCTCCATCAAATGTGTGCTTTTTCAAAATGTTTTATATGAATATTTTTTTTGAAATCTTCAGAAAAGTCCCAATATTTTGGTAATTTTTTAAATAAAGTCCTATTTTTTTTAACAGAAAAGTTTCGACTATTTAACTTTTTCAATATATAAAAATCCAAGAAACCGGCTAATTTATTCAAATTACCCCTTTTTTATATGTTCAATAGGTCATTTGACCAAATCGTTAATTTTTCCAAAATAATTGGACTTTTCTGTAGATTTCAGAAAAATTTATATATAATATATAAACATATTTTTTACGTATTTATATCTATTTTTACGTATTTATGTATTTTTTTTAAGTTTTTATATGTATATGTTTACATATTTTATGTATTTTAAATGTATAAACATATTTTTTACGTATTTATATGTATTTTTAAGTATTTTACATTATTTTTAAGTGTTATTTTTTATGTATTACGTATTTATATGTATTTTTACGTATTTATGTATTTTTTAAGTTTTTTATATAGATGTTTATGTATTTAAATGTATAAACGTATTTTTTTACGTATTTATATCTATTTTTAAAGTATTTTACATATATTTTTATGTGTTTTTTTATGTATTACATATTTATATGTATTTTTACGTATTTGTATATTTTTTTAAGTTTTTTATATAGATGTTTATGTATTTTTATGTATTTTATCTATTTTACATGTATAACCGTATTGTAGGATCTCATGAAGATGACAAATGCGGAATTAAGAACATGCATAATCGAAACGACTCAGATTAACGTTGAAGCATAAGATGTATAGATAATGGAGTAGTACAAAAATGTAGAAGCATGTGCCTGCTTACTACAATACTCTCTCTCTCTCTCTCTCTCTCTTGACGAAACTACTCATTTATACAATGAGAGTTTTCTCAACCTACAATGAATACTAAAACTAGTATTTATAGGCTAGCTCAACCCATAACCCATATCGAATAGGGAAACGCCACATAAGTCACCATCCAATGAAGAGCTTTTCATCCCAACATTCTTCCCCATAAAGCTTGGAATGGATAACTCGGCTTCAAGTTCCAAAAGAGCAACTTTGCGAATTAGACCTCAAGCGTAGCAAAAATATAGAAGCAAACAACAAATCTTCAATTCTTCAATGATCTTCTAATCCAGGTTCTAGAATGTGAGACATTACAATCCAAAGCATCAAAAGGCAACTTTGAGTCCTTGAGTATCCAAAACTCCAAGGCAAATTACCCATATTTCAGCATAAAAGCACATCCCAAAAATCTTCATTAAGAGCAAACCCTTCATAAATGTAACACCCAAAATTTTACAACCAATTTAAAATTTTTAAAAGCCTTTCCAACCATTAAAAATCATTACAATTTTGTTTCAAAATGTATACTATCAGAGTTTTTCCCATAAACATAGACAAAACATAAGGAGCTGTACGATCACGCATTCGCCTTGTCGCGATCCCCTGATGTACCTGAAACAATAAACTGAAACTGTAAGCCCGAGAGCTTATTGAGTTCCCCCAAAATACCCATACCCACAACAATACACATATAATCATAACAGCATACTATGGGTCCAGTCAACCATCGGGTTGGAATACCCCAGACCCTCAATCAACAGGTTGGAATGCCAACACACTATGGGTCCAATCATCCTCGGGATGGAATACCCCAGGCCCTCAACCAACAGGTTGGAATGCCCCGGTCTATTGGTCACCGCACAAAGCAGGTAAACCTCAACCGCCAACAACATGTGCACATACAACAGCTAATCACATAACAGTCTATAGACAGAAACTGATCTAACGGATCATACCACATAGCACATAATACTATCCTATCTACCAGGATACCGATCTAACAGATCATACCATATAATGTCATCCTACCCTCTAGGATACCGATCTAACAGATCATACTACTTAACGTAACCATATAACAATTCAAAAGGGCCGGCCATGGTGCCTTAGACCCTTGAGTATAGTGAGGATAACTCACCTTGCAACTGTCGTCCGAAACTAGAAAACTCAACTCCCGGATCACCAACACGAACTCCACCACCTATAGATACATAAAACCCTTTTTCATAAATCTCCAAATTACCCTCAGAAGTCAACTGGTCAACGCTCGGTCCAAATCAAAGTCCACAGTCAAAGTCAACAGTCCATGTTGACTTGACTCGTCGAGTGCAGATCACCGACTCGTCGAGTCCTTCCTGAACTCGAGAAGTCGTGAAATCCTTGATTGGCTCGTCGAGTTCCCCTTTAACTTCGCCGAGTTCATACGTGTCCAAGAATTTAGGAGAAACCCTAGCCGACTCGCCGAGTCTTCGAACGACTCGTCGAGTTCAAGGCAATCTTCAACGAACTCGCCGAGTTGTTCATCCACTCGTCGAGTTCCTGGCCATCTTCAACGGGCTCGCCGAGTCCTTGCAGATCTTAATCCATGCAGATGCTTTTTAAGCCATGACAACGTTCCAGATTATAGATCCAAGCTTTTAAGGCATGTTTATCACGTAAAGTTGCAAACTTTACGTGTATGCATGGCTAACAAGGCTCTTAATGGCAATTCTAAGCTCTTAATGGGGTTTCATGCACAAGGGGGGGGGTCTCAATCACTCCCAAACCCGCAACTTTATGACTCTAGGACTTAAGAAGGGTCCAGATCTGAAGTTACAACTTCAGATCTAGCCCATAGCTCCCCATATCAACTCAAAATCCATGAAACCCTAAAACTCAACCAAAAGAAAAGAGATCTAGAAGGAAAGGGAAGTAAAGATTGCAACTTGATACCTCCAGAAGATGCTAGCTGAGGTAAGTTTTGCTTCCCACACCTTCCTTGCTTCAACTCCTTTGCTCTTCAAGCTTTTTCTTCCTAGCCAACCTTCTTTCCAAGGCTTAAATCACACCAAGAAGAGTATCACACAAATTAGGGTTTCACTGAGCTCTCAAAGACTGTAAAGAGGCCAAAGGAGGATGAGGCTCCTTTAAATAGGGTGCAAAACCCCGGGATTTAGGGTTTCATCTGCCAGCTCCTACTCGTCGAGTCCCTTCATGGACTCAACGAGTAGGTCACTAAACACGCGTATCAAACCCGTTGCTACTCGACGAGTAGGGCAACCAACTCGTCGAGTAGGCCTTGAAACCAATTAAATTCTTATTTAAA